ATATATATCTGATATAATTATCCCATCAATTTTGGTCCATTATTCCAGCAGTTTTGCAAGAGTGATGGCCATTAGTTGTTAGCCTTCATGGGCAGTAGTGGCTAGCCTTCTTGGTTGGATGCTCCTCCTCTCTCCCCCATGGTGTATAAAAGGAGACCCATTTCCCTTGGTTTTGGTATAGAATTTTTGTCTTCCAATCATATAGTCAGTTTGCTTGCTCTTATAAGAGTGCTGCCATTGTCGGTTCGCCAAAACGAACAGAAAATGCTTTTGCGTTAGCCAGTCTAAACCATCTTATCCTGGGAGACAGAAGTCGACGTTCTTCCAACACCTGCGATGAGGTGGCTAGTCTCTTTTAAGGACACTGTGGTATCACATAGAATTTGGTTTGATTTTTTGTTTTCAATATTTCGATTAAATTTGTATTTCTATTTATCATGTTTCATATTTCACGCTTTAAAATGTAAATTTATTAAACATGAATTTATTTGATGTTCTATTATTTAATTTAATAAATCATGAATCTATTTATCTTGATTAATTTATATAATTTAAACAACTTCTTCATTGCAACCTACTATATTCTCTCATTTTCTCTTTCTCATATGCCCTCCACTACTACACCATTTGAAACGGACTGTAGACGGGAATAAAGAGGGAGGTAAGTTGGAATAGGGTTAACACCACTACAATATATATAAGTTTTAGTGATCAAAGTAAAAATTTTCTTACAAAAAAACATTTACGTTGTTTTTGGTAGAGGGATTTGAGAAGGAATTTGGCAAAAGAAAGGAAAAATGTGTGTGAAACTAAGTGAAATATATTTATATTTTATTCAAATTTTACCTACCTTTTTTTTTTTCCTTTCCAAATTACTTTCCAAATCCCCCAACTAAGCACAGCGTTAAGGACTAATTTCATTTGTCGCGAAGACCGTCGTTGAAAAGTCATCCCAAAAAGTCAAAAAATGGGCTTTTAGGAACAAAATTATGAAAATGTCTTTAATAAATACACTTTTAGGGACAAAATAACTTAGTTCCAAAAATGTTTATCTTTCGAGACAGAACTTTTGATATCAAAAGGTTAATAATTCAAAACTAAATGTCCAATTTTATTGCTAAAAATAAAATAATAACACTTTTGACAAAAAAAATATTTTATTCCTAAAAGTGATTTTGTTCTTAAATTTTTGTCCGTATAATCTTAATTTCTTGCAGTGCACAAGAGAAAGTAGGAAGAGATTGTTTGAGGGGGGTGGGGGTAATGTGGAATGGATGGGGTTGCAATAGTTAACAGGAAAATGTTAATCGCGCTAGCGAGTAGGAATGGGAGAGAGATTATAAGAGGTGAGGAATGGGCTTGCAATGGCTTTAGGTGGTGGAAAATGAATGGTTGGTAGTAGTGAGTTATAAAAGAGGATGCAAAAAGTTTGACAACGGAAATACTCTATTATCTCTTTTCTGTGAAATGTTCTATATTTTATTGATTTTCTTTTATGAAACTTTTTGTATTCTATTTATATGCAAATAATACAGCTAATGATGCCTATATCATGGCCTTTTTCAAAATTTGGATAGGTTAAAGCATCTCTAACGGTTTACTATTTTTTTCATTAAATCTGAGTAAAAAAAAAAAGACGATTTCCTCAATCTAATATCAGGAGCTCCAACGGATGCACTATAACTTTCATCAAAACACAGTGGACGCCCGAAGGGGCGACCGGCCGGTCGATCGGACATGGAAAATTAATTTTTCCTCCCTTTCCATGGCTGCTGCTGCCCTTCATTTTCTGTGTAATCCATGGCTGCTAGTCTTTCAGGGGATTGGGGTGAATCCAGAGAGTGGGGAATTCAGAGCAATCTATGGGTGTCTCTGACAACTGGGAAATCTCAAGGAGAAGATATTCAAAAAAAAAAAAGAAAAAGAAGAAGATGGGTTTAGATACAAGACCCGTATCTACAGATCTCTGTGTTGCAGTGAAACAAATACAAACGTATTTGAAAATAATAAGGTGAGAAAGAGAATATGAGGAAGTTGATTGATGAAAAAGAAGATGAAATTAAAACTTGCAAAAATTGGGGTCCTCTGACCTCCTCCTCCTCCTCCTCTTCTTTCAGTCCATCAGATTCTTTCACAACTCACCAAATCCTCCGCCTTAACCCTTACACATACCACTTAAATCGAAAATGAGTGAGGCCCCTTTTTGGAGAACTCCACAATTTCCATAGTGATTCACACTATTCATGATGTGTGAGACCCACTCATGTATGTGTGGGGTCTATATCATGAATGGAGTGAATCACTATGAGAGTTGTGGGAGTCTGCCGAAAAGGAGGTCTCTATCATTACTCCTACTTAAATATGTCTCTCTCTGTTACGCAAAAAAACAAATAGCAGGTACTCGGCAAAAAATACGAAAGCAGTGAATTCATGAAAATTGTCCAAACCATGGCTTCCGGACAACTTGGGAGACGACTGGCCGGACGTCCGGCCAGTTGGTGAAATGTTCTATATTTTATTGATTTTCTTTTATGAAACTTTTTGTATTCTATTTATATGCAAATAATACAGCTAATGATGCCTATATCATGGCCTTTTTCAAAATTTGGATAGGTTAAAGCATCTCTAACGGTTTACTATTTTTTTCATTAAATCTGAGTAAAAAAAAAAAGACGATTTCCTCAATCTAATATCAGGAGCTCCAACGGATGCACTATAACTTTCATCAAAACACAGTGGACGCCCGAAGGGGCGACCGGCCGGTCGATCGGACATGGAAAATTAATTTTTCCTCCCTTTCCATGGCTGCTGCTGCCCTTCATTTTCTGTGTAATCCATGGCTGCTAGTCTTTCAGGGGATTGGGGTGAATCCAGAGAGTGGGGAATTCAGAGCAATCTATGGGTGTCTCTGACAACTGGGAAATCTCAAGGAGAAGATATTCAAAAAAAAAAAAAAAGAAGAAGAAGATGGGTTTAGATACAAGACCCGTATCTACAGATCTCTGAGTTGCAGTGAAACAAATACAAACGTATTTGAAAATAATAAGGTGAGAAAGAGAATATGAGGAAGTTGATTGATGAAAAAGAAAATGAAATTAAAACTTGCAAAAAGTGGGGTCCTCTCACCTCCTCCTCCTCCTCTTCCTCTTCTTTCAGTCCATCAGATTCTTTCACAACTCACCAAATCCCCCGCCTTAACCCCTACACATACCACTTAAATCGAAAATGAGTGAGACTCCCTTTTTAGAGGACTCCATAATCTCCACAGTGATTCACACTATTCATGATGTGTGAGGCCCACTCATGTATGTGTGGGGTCTATATCATGAATGGAGTGAATCACTATGAGAGTTGTGGGGGTCTGCCGAAAAGGGGGTCTCTATCATTACTCCCACTTAAATATGTCTCTCTCTGTTACGCAAAAAAACAAACAGCAGGTACTCGGCAAAAAATACGAAAGCAGTGAATTCATGAAAATTGTCCAAACCATGGCTTCCGGACAACTTGGGAGACGACTGGCCGGACGTCCGGCCAGTTGTCCTGTGGCCCCACACCCAACGATCATACACAGTGAATTGGTGAAAACTAAGCCAAGTCCTCAATTTGGTGCAAGATTTGATTTATTCTCAATTTGGTGTCGTTTTGGTGATACCATTAGAGAGCTAAAAATTATACTGTTTCGCCAAAATTAAATTTGGTAATGAATCTGAGGAAACGTTGAAGATGGTCTTACAGTCACGTATAAGTTAAATGTAATAGTCACCTTAAAATTGCTTCGCCGTTTTAGATTTTCTTGTCAAAAAAAGTTGAGACAAAATATATATATATATATATATATATAAATAGAATGACATAATAACGTCATTTATAAAATCAAACACAAATTAATGGACTTCTTATTCTAAAGTAATAGGATTTTCATTTTTTTTTTTTTTTAATATCAACACCCATATTGGATAGAAGGATGTTTAAAAGGCACAATCATCCCATCCTCCAAATCTTAATTCAATTTTCTAATTACACCTGTTTGGTAAACTGCTAAAATACTTGCATTTAATTTTGAATTTATTTGTCTGTAATGACTTTTCTTAAAAATTGTCATTTTGAAAAAAAAAAACAAAAAAAAATAATTCAAGTGCTTTTAGACTAGAAGAACGCTAAAAATAAAAAAATATATAAATAAATAAAAATTTAAATAGACCAAATTTTAAGAGATAAAAAAAAACAAAGAAGAAGAAAATTGATATCCGCCACTTGGGAAGATTAGGATCATAAAGTGAGGGAAATGTATGTGCTGGAGGTCATCATAAAAATTGTACAGAAAGAGAAGTGACAAGAAAATTTGCTTTATCATTTTTTTTTTCTATAGTAACTATCCAAGGAATATTTGATTGGTTTCCATTTTCTAAAAACAATTTTCAAAAAATTCTACTTTCTTATTTTTTGTATTTTTTATTTTTACTGAATTTTTTTAATATTTTATGCAAATTTTTTATTTTTTAGACACACCTCTTTTCAGAAAATTCTACTTTCTTATTTTTCGTGTTTTTTTGTTTTTACTGAATTTTTTAATGTTTTAAGCAAATTTTTTTACTTTTTAGACATACCTAACATAAATACGCCTAAAAAGTAAAAAAATTATAAAAAAAATCTTTTAAAAATTAACTAAATACCAAAAATACAAAAAAAATATAAAAATTCAGTACATTTTTTGTATTTTTATAAATTTCTTAATTTTTTAAAATATTTTTTCACAATTTTTTTACTTTGTAAATACATCTAAGTAAGGTGCATCTAAAAAAATAAAAAAAATGTTTAAAAATATTAACTAAAAACAAAAAACACGAAAATAAAAAAACTCAATTTTCAAAAAACTTGATCCAAAAAACTAAAACCAAACACATGATTTTCTTTTTCTTTGCCCCTCTTTTCCCTCACCAAATCCATGCCAAGATAAGCTTTGGAGAATCAATATCAGTGACAAGGGCAAGCCACCCATTTTAAAGTTGATTGATTACTAAGAAGAGTAATAACACGTCTCACAATCTCTGCAAAAACAGTAAACCGTATTGACATACAAATGAAATGGGGGCTGAACCAAAAGCCTGAGACTAAAATCTCCTTTTAGCAGGTTGGGAATGTTGTGGGCTGGGAAAGCTAGTCTAAAATAGAACCAATATCTAAGTGAATGAACAGAGTGAACCCCCAAAGAATCAGCATATCAGAGGTATTTCTATTTGGTAAAGATGAGCCATGTGTAACGTGAATGCTTGTGCATCATACATGTGTTTGTTTGTGATTCTTTCCCATGCTTCAGGGCTGTGTCGTCCACTAGGTCATGTTTTGAATCCATTGAATCTTTGAGATTATCCAACTTGGTTTTACCTGCATTTGCGATCAACAAAGTTAATGTACACAAACAACATGATAATCTATAATAAATAAGCTCAACCTAAATGCTGCTAAAAGCAAAACAAAGACATTATGTTATATAGAGCATTTGAACCCATTGTGTTCATCACATTTGAAACAAGCCATTTTTTTCCTCAACAGTAGTTAGGTTAGGTCAGGTAAGATCAATTTTCCCGTCGACAGATGATTTCATACCAATATTATCATTTTGGGGTTAAAGATTTGAGATTTAGTTGGAATGAAGAATCCTCCAAAGATCCATCTTTCAAGTTGGAATAGTGTGGACTCCCATGGGGTTTGGTGGTCTGGGTTTGCATCCTTTCCATTCTTTTGCTTGTCATAACATAAAGCCATTACCACAACAAATCCAAAGATCCATCTTGCAAGCCATTACCATTTTATACACTTGCTAATGTTTAATTATCAACCATTACCACAAAACAGTATTTAGCAATACTGACCAGTCTTCATAGCATTCCAGAACAATTTAACATCCCCAAAATCTGCCTATTGAGGTTTGACATATAGGCAGGCAACCAAATCTAGCATATACTACGAGTAAGTTAGAAGTCCGGAAAATAAATGTTGAAATTGAGTTGAATCAAGCTGTTACCTGTCTTTCCTCTTCCTGCTCACTTGCCTTCTAGAAAATGCATCATTTGGCTTGCTGAGTAAGACAAGGTTCTGCTCGAAAGTATCAACAACAAAATGGTATCCAGTAACATGAATTCCCAAATTCTTAATTTGATGGTTCGAAGGGTCATATGAAGAAAGCACCCAATCCCTAGTCGTTTTTGCCTCCAATAATACATGACCATTATTTCGCATACCTAATACCTCTGTAATTCCTCCGCTTAGATCAACTGTGAACTGTTTACACCAAGAATCGACTACGCCATACTCTTTCATTATCCAAACGGAACAATACTGGTTTGGAGCAGCATCTTCATAACATAACAGAGAAAGCAATCCCCCGAAGACTGAAGTGCACATCTCCTCCGTGCTCACGCCTACCATACCATTTGGTAACATCATCGTTTGAAACACCTCATCAGACAAATCAAACGACAAAATCAATGGATCATTGGAATTCCACATAATCGCAGCAAAATGAACAGCCCCTTCTAAATAAGAAGTGAATCGCCCCCTAGTAATCTCAACCGGAGAAGAGTTTCTCCCGTGCTAGACATTTTCCACGAGGCCGCATTAAGGGAGTAAACCTCAATGTGTGTTGTTGGCGCCTCCGTAGTTGGATAAAAATTAACTATTCTGACCACTTTATAATCACCAAAGATACTCTAGAGTGTTTTTTTTCCTAAAGTCTAGAGTGTTTTTTTTCTTAAAGTTTCTTAAAGTGGTGTATTGTTTAGTTGAGATTTAATGCTGAAAAATTGATGTGACTTATCATTAAATCTCAATCGTTGTTGTGTGGATCAAAATCCGAACCCATAACGATGAAAAGACGCCTTGATTGTAGGCTTGGGCATGGCCATGGACTTTCTAATTGATGGGCTCCAAAGAAAAAACCGATCTTGTTCGAAAAGGCAAAACAAACCTTTCGCATACCCAATTGCGTGAAAAAAGTGGAGACAACGGGTCTTTGTTGGGATTTCAAGGTCTTTGTATTCATCAAATGAGTCTTCGGTATCAATACAGAGTTTATAGTGCTCTGTTCTGCGAGGTGGAATAGAAACACATTGCCTAACTATCATGAGTGGGAGATTATCATAGCTGTTGATGTAGGAATTGGAAGTGAGTGAGTGAGTGAGTGAGTGAGGTGGGTGTTGATGAAATTAGGGCTTGTGATGAGAGAGTTCCAAGATTTGGACACAGACCTGAATTTGATTAGGGATTTGGTGGGTAATTTTTTGCACTTTTCTTCATTTGCACTTTAACGTGATCTTTGATGTTAAATTTAGGATTATTAGTCCTGTAGTTTTAGTAAATTATTATTTTTGATTTAAGGATTAAAGTTTAAGTCTTATAATTTTAATTTTCTTACAATGGGATCTCATCATTTTTTATCATTAGAATTTAGAATAAACAAAACTTTGTGTAAAATTATAAAGACTATATTTAGAATAAACAAAACTTTGTGTAAAATTATAAAGACTAAAGTGAGATTCAAAACAAATTGGATTTTAATTTTGTATGTAATTTTTTTCCATTCAAAATATTAACAACACATGACGAAAGAAATATATTCCAACAACATTGAAAAGGTAATGATAAAATTATTCAAATTGAAAATGTAAGGATTAAAATAAATTTTAATCAAACTATAAAGACTAGTAATATAATTTACCCTTATATTTATTATCAAATATTACCATGTGACCCCTTACATAAGACAATTTTTTAAGTAGAAGTGTAATTTTATTTTCCTATTATTTATTTCTCCATTTTATTTTCTCTGTCTACTCAATTTTCTAATTTATTATTATTGATCACATATTTCCCGCCACTTTTCTATCATTTTCTTGCAACCACCATTCCTTTCAGTCACTCACTCATGACTAATACCTATTTCTTTCCCTCAACCCTTATCACAAGCTATTGATTCACCACCCCACTTCTTGCTTGCTAGTTCTATCATTTTTCATTACCTAATATTACCACACTCCTTTCTTTTATCCGAAGTTGCCCTACTTCCTTTCCCATTCTACCACCTGTGATCAACTTTACCTCGATCTTCCATTGATTATGGTAAAACATAGTACAATAATAATTTCATCCATAATATCATCAACCAAAAACATTGCCATCCCAAAGCCCATTCACTTTCTCTTGTAGTTTCCTTTATGTTCGTTCGCAACATCTTCTCCATTGCACCCCACTATATTCTATTATTTTCTTTTTTTCATATGCCTTCTACTATGCCCTTCTTAGAAGGAACTGTAGAGGGACACAGTTGGAATATGATTAATACTGGAGAAGGTAAGAGGAGATTATACTGGAGGGTACAAAAGAGCAGAATTTAAACGGTTAACCTAATCGTGGGAGCGCCTTTATTAGGAAAATAAATATCATTAAATGAACTTAAGTCAAAACCCAAGAGAAATGGGTCAGCCAGAAGACCGAACCATGTTCGACCTGTTTGGGCCAAATAAGCCAAGAGCAAGTGTCCAAGGAAACTCGTTAAGACATTACTTGTTGCGGCCCAGTTGCTAAAACAAACCCCACATCAATACTACCATCCTGTCAAAAGATTGTTGTGGCACTGCCTTTGACACTTGTTGAGGAGAACAAAGTCGGGGCAACTTAAACCTCTAGAACTGCCTTTTGAAGCGCAGCTTCCTAAGGCAATAGCACCCTTAGAGGGAGACCTCCTCCATACAGAGCAGTGTACAGATGCTTGGTACCGATAGCAAGCCCCAAGGCATTAGTAGCCTAGGGCTGATAGTAGGCCTAAGGCACGTATAGCTTGGTGTTGATAACAGACTCTAACGCTTATTGATTGGAGCTGACAGTAGGCGCTAGGGGCACTAGTATACTGCAGCGACCCCACGAAGATAGGAACAAAGTAACTCGAAAGTAAGGGACTCCATTTCCATTTACTCAAGTCGAGGACCTGCCTTGGTTGCACAAGCAGGACCAAGGCTTAGTATGAGGCACAACCCTTGTTGTGGCCCATGCCCTAGAAAGTTTGGGAGTTTGTGATTAGGTGACTAATGATAGAAGAGTCGTTGAGGTAGACACAAGTATGGTTGATAGCAGGTCATATGCCTTGAGAATGCATGTTAGAAAATTGAACTGAGAAGGCAGGTGCCGCAGTAACAATGACACCTACTAAGGTTCGTACAAAAAATGTATATACTGAGACTTGTGCCAAACAGATAGTACAGTGACACTTGTTGAGGTTTTGTGCCAAACTGATAGTACATGTCATGGGACACGTGTCTACCAAGGCCTAGTGGTTCAGGACAGAATATCTCGTGACATTTGTCACTGCACTGTTTGGCCACTTAGTATATTTTGGTGTTAAGGAAAAGCCTATAAATAGGACCCATATCCCAAGGTCAAGGCAGAGCTTCTTGGGATCTAGAAGGATATGCTGCCTATTTGCACTACCACATTATCTTCTTCAACCACTTGCTCTATCCTTACTCACTCTCCAGTCAACCCAAATTATTGACTCATTGACAGAGCTTTGCCTCTCTAAGTAATATTATTATTATTACTATTCATTTTGGACCCCCTACAGAGGGGTTGATAAGAAATGGATGAGGTTGTCATGGTTGATAGAAAAATGCTAAGGGTGGTAATGAATGGAAAAAAAGAGAGAAAAATTGTTAAGAGATGTAGGGAATGGATGGGCAATGGCCTTAGGTGGTGGAAAATGGGTGGTTGGTAGTAGTCAGTTAGAAAACAAAATACAAAAAAGTTTGACAAAGGCCATAACCCACCTATTGTTCCATCTCTAGAAATTTTCTATATTTTACTAGGTCTTTCTTTTGTGAAACTTTTTGTATTGTATTTCTATGCAAGTAATACTATTTGCATTTGGTTACAATCCAAGATGGACCTAGAGGAGGGTAGGAGGAGCCGATCACCCTCTCTACGATTTAAAAAATACCCTTTTCTAAATGATATAGAAACTCACCTCTTTTAACTTTTTCTTTTTTTTAGAAATTTTAAATGTCTATCGCTCTATATCTATGAAACATAGGATTAAAATATAACATTAAAAAGATAGGCAAGATGAAATTAATTTTTTATAACTATTGTTAATTAGAAGTCTTAGTTTCTAAAGAATAGAATAAGATATCGACTAGTTGTTTATGTTATACGGACTCAGGTGCGGGTGTCGGATACAAGTATGTGCCTAGGTGTTAGATTCGCCTATTCGTAAAAAATACTATTTGCATTTGGTTACAATCCAAGATGGACCTAGAGGAGGGTAGGAGGAGCCGATCACCCTCTCTACGATTTAAAAAATACCCTTTTCTAAATGATATAGAAACTCACCTCTTTTAACTTTTTCTTTTTTTTAGAAATTTTAAATGTCTATCGCTCTATATCTATGAAACATAGGATTAAAATATAACATTAAAAAGATAGGCAAGATGAAATTAATTTTTTATAACTATTGTTACTTAGAAGTCTTAGTTTCTAAAGAATAGAATAAGATATCGACTAGTTGTTTATGTTACACGGACTCGAGTGCGGGTGTCGGATACAGGTATGTGTCTAGGTGTTAGATTCGCCTATTCGTAAAAATAAGGATACAGGGACTCGGCTAAAAAGTGTCCAAAAAATAGATATGGATACAGAGACACAACATATAAAATATTAGTAGAAATTTAAAATTGTACTAACTAACTACATAATCTATGCATCATGATAATTAAAAACCAGATTCTTAAAGTCTAAAAAAATACGTAGAAGAAGAAAAAAGTAATTTATTATGAAATGAATGTAGAACCTAGGTACATACCTGATTGATTAGTGCTTTCAACCTCCCACAATTCACATGTTCTTTCACCATTTTAGCTGCATAATTCCTTATCACCATCAGTTTATGCAATAAAAAAAAAAAAATCATTGTGTATAAAATATAAATTAAGCAAAAAAAGACAAGAAAATGATATGGATGCTTACTTGATCGAGTTTAAAATGTGTATGACTTTGACCACACCTATAATATTCTATATCATTAGAATTGCAGCGTAACATATTATAAATTCAAATTGTGAATGATGTCAAAGCTCTTTAGTAAAATCCTTAATCAAACTATTGAATCCTTGAAACTGACAAGGAAGATTGATCATCTAATAATGTTGAGCTTCTAAGCTCTTCAATGCTTTAGCCTTAAACTTGTTAGTAACTATACCAGCACATTGATTCACAACATTCCCACAAGTATCTCTGGTTGTGTCCCATAAAACCTCCTCTACATACAAATATAAACATTATGATAAAAAAAAAACTACCTTCAAGTTGATTGAGATGATCAAATTTAGATTTACAAAAATGATAAGTCTTGTATGTCAAGTCAACTATTCATAGTTGACTGATCATCTCCACCATACCACAAAATGTCAAAAAAAATTTAAAATACAAAAACAAATTATAGTCTTTACATAAACATCAATATATGAAAAGGCAAAAGATCAAATCAAGGTAGTCCAAAAGTTAAGCATCTAAGTCTTAACCATGATCAACATCATCAGGATGAACCTTCTCCATTGCATCATCAAAAGTCACAAGCTCCAACTCATGTTCATTCATAGAAACTTCAGCAAACTCAATTGGAGATCCATCAATGTCAAACCCATTT